GGGCCGGAGTTGGTCCGCGAGCCGGTACTTGGTACCTCTTTTTTACTCGCAAAATGCGAGCAGGCGAGTGGAAATTTTGAGCCCTGATATACTCTATATAGAAAAGGTGTAAAGTACAATAAAGAAAAAGATGAAGTTAAGAATGGAAATTTACTGAATACATTTTAAAACTGTCTTTAATATGCACAATTCGAAGAGGACCTGTCTTGTATTATCATCCTTTCACAGCATGCCTTTGGATTGTGGGAGGAAACTGCAACACCCGGAGGAAGCAAATTTTGATAGTGTTCTGACCTAGGATTTGAACTAGGGACCCCCCGTGCTGCAAGGCAGAAGTGCTAACCACTACACCACTGTTCTGCCCTATGTATGGATTTTGAAGAGGGAACAAGAAAAGGGAATAGTAGGGAAAAGAGGTAAGAGTGGAGAGAAGGAAGGGTGGACAAAAAATGGAAAGAGGTAAAGAAGGAGAAAAAGAGGAGGGAGGTAAGGATGGACAAGAGGAAAAGGGGTAAGAGAAAGTAGAAGAAAGAATGTAAGCATACAAATGAGGAAGGGGAGTAGGTGGAGGTTGGAGGGGGGATGGAAAGAATCAAGGAAGGAGATGAGGGAAGGGTAGGGTGAGAGAGGATGGAATGAGGTAAAGAAAGAGAGGAGGCAAGGGTGGGGTGGGGTGGAGAGAGGATAGAAAGAGGTAAGGAAGGAGATGAGGGAAGGGTAGGGTGGGGTGGAGAGAGGATGGAACAAGGTAAGGAAGAAAAGGGAAGGGTAGGGTGGAGAAGATGGACAGAGGTAAGGAAGGAGATGATGGAAGGGTAGTTAGAAGATTAAAGAGGTACATTTATGAGGAGGAATGTAGATAAGGGAAAGGGGGAAGACATATATGGGGTTGGGTGGTGGGGGAGACGCATCCACTACCGGACTTTGCGTGCTGCTACAAACGACATTCCCTTATAATCAGCGAGATCGCTCTTTGAAGTTCTAGCTAACACCTCGCAGTGAGTGACAGTGAACCCTTCTTTGGTGACAGCGTTTTTCACAAAATTCTCATCATGTTGGAAGACATGCATGGTGTCCTCCCCCACTTTATAATATGTCCCATTTACAGTGGCGATCACTAGCAGGAGTCCTCCGGGCTTCACAAACTTCATCATTTTCCTCAGGGTTGTCATGTATTCATCTTCATTGGTGCTGGTGGAATCCAGAATCCACATCGTGATCACACAGTCGGCTTGCGGTAACACTATCGGATCTGTCGGATTTTCCTTTGTGATGTCAAACTTCAAAATCTCTTTAATGGCCGACCTCAGCTGCATTTCTTTCTCTTGCCAATCATCGCTGCAAAAGAAATGTTACAAAGGTAACAAAGTACATAAAATGTGATGTCCTCAGGCAGGGCCGGATTTACTCTCTCTGCTTCCCCTAGGCCAGATTCCTTAATGGTAATATTATTCCTCATTTGGGTTTATTGGGTGGGGTCATGCAAAATATAATTTTTTGCACCTTTTTGTATAGCGCCACCAGCTATCCAAAGATAAGTTGGTGGAAGTAAGACCTGTACATCAGTGGCGCCACAAAGGGGGTGCGGCCCGCACCCGGGTGACACCATTGCAGGGATGACACCAAAATGACTATCAGTCATTTTGGTGTCACGCCCTCTAAAAAGTCAGGCACTCGGTCATGGACCTAGAGCCCGACAGTGTCAGCAGAGATGAGGGGACCCGGCGGCATACCTCATCCTGACGGGTGAACGTTCCCTACTCTCTCTGCCGGTGTCCATCACCAAGATGGCCGGCGGCAGGCGGCAGTCAGATGGCCATGCACGCGCGAGGTGACGTCAGGCGCGATGACGACATGGCTGGGTGTCAACCGGCCTGGGAACCGAGTGACACCCGGCCTCGGGACGCCCCTGCTGTACATACTGTACCTTCTGTTTTAAGAAGAGTTACTGCATTCCTCAATGGTGGAGGGATTCTTGATTCCTTTCAGGCCACCTCACCATGACCTGTCTGGTTCTTGACTGTGTTTACAAATTTCTGACACAGATCAGACCATTCTGCAGCCTCTCACCTTGTGATTTGCTACAATCTCGCAGTCTGACCACTGGGGCAGGGGGACTGAGGAAATGCTTTCTCCTGCCTGCAGCAGACCTATGGCAACACCTCATTCTAGATAAAGTCACTGACTGGAGCACATGGACAGTTTTTTAATGATAAAAGTTGGAGTTTCTCTAAAAAAAATAAACTGTTGCCATATATATAACACAATTGGGGGGAATTTATCAAAACTGGTGCAGACCGTATCTGGAGCAGTTGCCCATAGTAACCAGTCAGCTTCTCTCTTCAGTTTGTTCAGTTAAGCTTTGAAAGATAGAAGCTGATTGGTTGCCGAGCACAGCTGCTCCAGTTTTGATCAATTCCCCGCAATGTATTTAAAAAGACTTGTAAAGTTATTGGAAGCTACAAGCCGTGAAAAATGCTTTTAAATTTGTTCAAATGTCATTTACCGTTGTCCCTGCAGATCCGCCATGCCTGTCGAGATGTGCGACCAATCAAAAGCCTCGCTATGGCTGTCCAGCCATTTTCTCAGCTCCATGATGCACCTCTCAGATACCCGCAGCAGAGTGATTTCTTTGAAAAGGTAGCTGACTAGGAAGAGATGGTGAAGTGTTGCGCTGATGCTGGCGTCAATTACACATGCTCCTTCCTCGAGTTCTGTGGGAAAACAGCGATAAGAAACACAAAAGACGCGTAATGATAGAGACAGAGGAGAGACACCTTCGCAGACAGCAGACAGTATCCCCGCTGACAGCAGTGTTATCCCAGTACATGGATCAAGTGAAGGATGCAAGACATATGGGTGAAACATTTTGCTGAAAGGCCAGCATGGGCCCCCTGACCGGTCTGCGGCTAGGGAGCCCCATACACAACAACCTGCGATGCTCTGTGTGATCAGACTCCTTTCCATCAGAACCAACATTCACTTTATCAGTAATCTGATCTCCCGTATATCTCTTCTATTGGATCAGACTAGACTAGTTTTGCCACCTTTTCTTCAAACGAAACATGAACACTCTACGAGGACATTTGTTATGGGAGAATGTTGCGGCTTATACATATGTCAATATCACAGTTTAGACTATTTTCAGTGGGGGGCCAGTAGCCCCTATCTTGAAGGAGAACTATGGGGTAAGTGTTTTTCACGGGTCACGTACACAAACTAGCGTCCTCCCATGACCCAAAGCTCAGAATAACGCGAGCTACGGCTCACGGTATACTGAGACGGCTGCAGCCAGGACGGATCCCAACATAACTGCCGAGATCCACCCAGCTGCGTGATTGACAGCTGGCTCTGCTTATCTAGAGGCAGAGCCAGCTGTACCCGCCCCCTCCCCCGTCCGTTCTGCCAGTCAGCGCTGGATGATCGGAGCGGGTAGGGGGGATGCCTGCAGGGATCCGTGAGTGACAGTCAATGCTCTCTGGGGGGACAGAATTGAGAAGTGAGCGAGTATGTGTTCACTCACGTCCCGATCTATTGAGCCGACGTGTGACAGTTTCATTGTCACACGTCGACTCGAACTATGAGGCTGAGTTGAAATCACTCGCCTCATAATTCTCCTTTAATTTTGGTTGCCCCTGTCTACCTGACATCTTGTGTCTGGGTTTCTGCTGCCATGAAACCTGAACACGGCATTCAAAACTCGGACTGTCCGGGTGAATCCTGGACAGGTGGCAACCCTAGTCGGGCCAGACTTCACTACCTACATCCATCAATGAGCCTTGGCCGCCTATGAGTCTGTCATCGGTTCACCGGTTTTCCTTCCTTTGGTAGGCCCTGACCCCTGCAGACCGGGAACATCCCACAAGAGCTGTAGTTTTGGAGTTCCTCTGACCCAGTCGTCTAAACATCACAATTTGGCCCATGTCAAAGTCCCTCAAATCCTCACACCTGTCCATAGGCCAGTGGTACGCATGCTCTGCATTCTTTCTTTTCTTCCAACCTTATTTACTGACGTGTTGCTTCTCAAACTATTGTGAACCTTAACCCCTTCGTGACGGGAGACGTACACTGTACGTCCAGCCACAACGGAACCAAATGACTCGTCACGTACACTGTACGTGACGAGTTATTTGCTGCATTAGAGAGCTGGTAACCGCTGAGAATCAGCGGTTACCATTCATTAAGGGATGCCTCAGTAAAGACTATAGAGGCATCCATTAATGAAAGGGTTAACCTTTTTCAGACACCTGGTACCTTAATCATATGTGATATAAATATGTAGCCCTATCTGTCCTCTAAAAATCAATATATAATATGTGTGGGTGCACTTTGTAAGAAAGCATATTACTGACGTGGAAGAATCACACAGCAAAAATGTCAAAAGTGTGTCAGTCATTTACGAACAGAAACTAAAAAGAGCTCAGTCATGAAGGGGTTAAAGTGACATTAAAGTCCAAAATCTTTTTCCCTCCCCCCAATGTTAATTAAAGCTCTTACCTTAGGGAGTATCCCGCTTTATATTGAAGCTGCCCACCCATTGTATACGCAATCTTTTATATTTTTCTGTAGACTGTCAACCAATCTTGTTGCTAATACAGATGACTTATGTTTTTGTATAAAACCTTAATAAAAATGTCAATTATAAAAAAATGCACTTACCTTGAATGATGTCTCTGAATCCGATCTTCTTCTTCTTTCCTGTCCTTTTCTGCTGTCCCTCCAGCGCTGCGGCGGCTCTCCGATCCAGCGCTGACTCCTCTGTCCTTGCTGGCACTTCCTGTCCCACGGTGTCTGCATGCGGGTGCACGCTGTCCATAGACTTACCTTGCGTCTCTCCTCGCGTCCCGGCCGAAAATGTGATCTGCGCATGCGTCCGCCCCGAGAATTTTCACATTTTCAGATGGGAGCGGGCGGGGAAGACACCGGTGAGTATTAACCCTTTTCAAAGCGTTTTTTTTTTTTACACTTTTTGCATATATCTACTGCTTGCTAGCCTTATATATATGCAAAAAAAGCTGAGGCTTTAATTATCCTTTAAATGATACCTCCCCATTCAAAATGTTGACTCTGGATCCCCCTGGTCTGTGGAGTCTCATTTTTGCTAATATACAAGAGCTGTCCTGGAGCATCCCCAATTCTCCTGCCACCAGATCTGTAATATAATATTAATGACAAGTTATTGGAAAAATGAGACCTCCTGACCGGTCACAGTGGAGGGGCGGAGCTGGGAACTAACATGTGGTGGTCTTTGCATGTTTCTCCCCAATGTATATGTAAAGCTGGAGGGTGAATAATCCTTCTAGTACCCACCCAACTAAGGCTGACTATGAACTCATCATCCATACCTGAGCGGAGCACATTGTCTATTTTCTGTGCTGGAAATTTTAGAACTTCTCCTGTGAACACCATTTCGGGTTTCCCAGAAAAGTAAGTGTCCAGAAATATTTTCGGGTGAAAGCTGTGGATATGGTGGAGTTTTCTTGAGCTGGACATCTCTGAAGCAGCAGGGTGGCTCTCGGGTCTTTGGTTGTCTGGTACTCATGGTGATATCTGGAGTGGGTCCTATTTATATCAAGTGACATTTACCTTTTACCCTCCTGCTTATGATCATGTGTCTATCACAGGGACACAAATCAACACGTTATTGTTTTTTTATGTAGAACAACATTAGATTTATTTCGTGTCATTATGTAAATGAGCTCAGCAAATATCATAACTCCAAACATCATGCTTTATGTGACCACACGGGACCTGGAATGAGACGGAGCTGTGCAAAAAGTAAAAGCGTTAAAGTTCATCTTTACAGTCGTTAGTCAGTGTGAGAAATAATAAATCCTCAAGCCCGGCTCTTAGTAGAAATGGGGATGGG